TTTCCAAAAGCCATCAATTTCCCTGACAGCAGCAAAGCTGAGAAGGAAAATGGGGGAAAAGGTCATTGGCTCTGGTGATTGGAGGTCATGAGGTACCCTCACGAAACCTCCTATGACGAAGTCCACTTAAAAGGAGTTACGAAGGGAACAGACAATCTTAAAACGAGAACAACCAAGGGTAAGCTCCTCTCAGCAAGTCAGAAGCTTTGTTTTGGGACGTCTGCATGTTTCTGTTCTCACTGGCGTCCAAACGAAGGTGAGAGATTAAAAAGCAAGTTTCCCCCAGCGACTCTCCCTCACAATCACCTCCACCTCCAAGTCAGTTAGGGGCCAGATGTTGCCCAAAAGGACCATAGCAAAGACAGACCAAGTGAGTGAAAGTGTGGAAACTTCTGAGGTTGGCTGGGTTTGGCACTTACGGAACAATAAACCAAACCTTTGAAGAGCTAAACAAAGGAACCATTTGTCTACTCTAAGCAATTACAAAGTGAGGCAGGATTACAGCAAAGGACAAGGAATAGGCGAATGCCAAGCTGGAGACAAGACAAGGGTTTACTGGGTCCAGCCTAGGACCCTCTGCCAGGGTCTGAGGTCAGTGGGTAAGAAAGTAAGTGAATGTATTCAATGCGACACAGGAAATGTAAGCTCTGGAGTTTTATGTTAAAAATGTCTAATTTTTTTCCTTCTCAGTTACTTTAATTTATACGGTATAGAACTGGGAAGGAAGATAACATTTTTAAAGCATGCAATGTTTTTTAAATGCACAAAAATTTTTCTTCACTGCTTTTTTTATTATAATCCCTATGAATCAATGACGCAGAATCATATTTTCTTGTCTGCTGAAGAACTTTCCTGTTGCCTCTCATTGAGACACATGGTTGGCATTAAAATGCTTGTGAGACCTTCCCTTCCTTTATCGTTCTCTGGCTAGCTTGGGTGTTAATCTCATGGCCCTTCTTTCAAACCGATATTTCTGCTGGGGATCCGTATTTATCATTCTCATTCACCTCCCTCCCTGACCAGCCTGACATGGCTTGAAGGGGTTTTGAAAGAGCAGTTCGACCATCCTGAGGGGCTGTCCGTCTTCCCCTGAAGTTGGAGCTAGCTTTTTGGTCACCAGGGTCCAGTTTCTTTCCTTATTAGTCACTGCTTTTATCTGTTGAAGACCAACTTGGAAGGAAGCTTTTTCAGGGGTGGGCACTGGTGTTATACAAGTCACATATTCTGAAGTTTTCCTTTGGTGTCTCTGGAAAGAAAGGGGAAAGTCTGGCCCAATTGCACATATTTCCTGCACTCTTTCCTCTTTCCTAAGTGTGAAAGCGGGCCGACTCTCATTGGGAGACCATGCAGTTGTCAGAATTAGTGATTCTTCACTGTACCATCCTAGGGGAAAGAATGTTCCCTGCAGTGACAAGGTGTTCCTTCTGTGAGGCAATCCTGCTGGACTGTTTAGCTGGCGTTGCAACCCTGTGGGTGATAATGGGATGGTAACAGAAGACCTTCCTTAGAAAAGGAGCAGCTCCAAAAACAGGAGAGACCCAGCCTTCCAGTGTCCTAGACCAGCAAGCCAGGAATGTTTGGTCAATAGACACCTTCCACTGACTTCCAAAAGGAGGTCAAAGACCAAGGTCGTCCCATCAAAAGTTTCCTTAAAAGATAAACTCCCGCAACTCTCTCTGGGTGATCAGGATTAGAAACTCTTCCCATTTTCTTATTCTTTCATGTTTCTATTTTACAATTTCTCTTTTCCAGGAAATATGCATGACTTTGGTCATCCAATGATACTATTACTTTTAATCTCTTCAACTGTTTCTCAGCAGAGCAAATGTCTCTTCTAGGTCAAATGGTTCTTAAAAGTTGCTAAAAAAAAGATGGTTAAGTCCCATAAGCTTGGTGAGATCTGACTTTCTGTTTCCTGGGCTGTAAAATGAGATGGACCCTACCTTAGTTTGGAGGCACAAACAGACTCCAAGCCCTACTTGAAAGTAACACCCCAGGTGGTGTCACCAGCCTGGGGGAAAATGAGGTTGCGTTCTGAATGCACAAGCAGCCTGACACCAGGCTGCCATAATTTTGGTAGTCAGACATTAAGATAGGGCCTATGCCATCTTTAGTAACTTCCAAAAACTACTCTTTGAAGTCAAGCTAGACCTACTATTATCCTTATTGTTTGATCCATTGGTTCGTTTTGTGTTTTCCTGTTTTTGTTTTTGTGTTTTGACCCTGTGGAGCACCTCCAGCAGAGAGTTCCAAAAGTGCCAGATTCCTGGGAAACCACCTAAGAGGCCTCTTCCAGGAAGGATGTGCAAGTTGCCAAATTTCCTGAGGGTTTATCTAGGTGATCAGGCTCTGTCAGGCACCCTTCTCTCACAAAATCCTACTTGATATACTCACACCTAGTAAGTATGCTATGTAAATTTCTCTCACATTTACTTCGACCTTTATTGCTCAGTTGTTTTGGTATGAAAACTGTTTATTAAAATGCTCCTTTAAATTTTTTTTCCCCTCGGAATCTCAAGTGGCACCCGGCCCCCATCACTATCAAAACCTCTGACTATTGTTCACCAGCCCAATTTAATTGTTAATAAAACTAAACACCTTTCGCCTCCCACTGTGCCTAGCCTTACCCAGGAAATACAGCGCCTTGCTTTAAAACTTGGTGATTAGAAGATGATGGGTTTCTGAGACGGGTGGGCTAAAGCTGCTGCCGCTGAAATTTTTTTCTTGTGCGTACTTGTTAATTTTTTCACGTTTCCCATCAATGGCATCAGGATGATGTTCATCGTCAGTAAGTAGTGATCGGTTCATTTTCACCACTGCGTATGCGGGTAAAGAGCCGTCTTGGCACCGCTTTTCCCCGCAGTAATTCCTCTTCCTTCCTCTCCTCTGCAGTAGGCCTGAAGGAATCATGAAGAATGGTTTGGAAACTATTTAAGCAGCCGCATCGTCGTCAGCCTCACAGGAAACCCTGCGTTCGGGACACCCCAACCCCCACCCGAGCCCCTCCCTCTATTGGCCCAGGTCTCGGGCATCTCGGCTGCCAGTAGAGGGCACGCTTACTTTACTTTCGCAAACCCAGCGCGGGTGCAGCCCGGGGAGGGGGCGGGGGAAAGACGGGCTTTGCAGCAAAACTGTGACTGTGGATTGGTCGCTCTCCGCGTATGCAGCAAAAGCCTAGAGGCTGGAGTCATTTGCAATCCTTAAAGCTGAACTGAGCTGTTCGCCGGGTTTGAAGGAAGTTACTTCTCGTTTAACAATTGAACGCTGAGCTGCAAACTCATCGGGTAATAATTTATCCTGAACACAAGCAAGCTCTACAACAGCCCTTCCCCCTCCCGAATTTGTTTCTATTTTGGAATGGGGGAGGGGTTGGAAAACTTGCTTAAAATGCTCTGTGGGAAGGACCAGGGAAGGAAAGATTGCCTTTGTTTTATTGCCACTAGTTTTATGCAAAATAGCAAATCCGGAGGAAATATGCGTTATGTATATTAAGCATACATCCACTTAGGGAGCGAAAAAATCATGTGTTGGGCAATATTATGGGTTGACGTGTACATGAAATGTATAAAGAGGTACGCGGATTACACATAATACACTTTCACTATGGTATTAACAAATTTTAGCGTCAATGAACTAGGAAATTAATGCCTGAAATTCGGCCACTTTTTAGTTGGCTAAAGACTCGCCCAAAAATGGTACGTAAGTAATACTTGGCTCCTCTCCTTTGGTCAGAATCGATGCATTTTGTGTGTGTGTGTGCATGATCGTGATTCCAATAATACAGATGAAATAAAGACCTGTAAAGGAAGTAAATGTCCGGTATGTCCGAAGAGTAAAGAGTTAACGGTTTTCTCCGCCAGGGTCTCTGCAGACTCCTCAAGCAGGGTCCACAAGCTCGCCTCGTCCAGGCTCTGGGAAGTCCGGTCCCGCGGCTCGCGCCCTCCTCCCCAGTATTCTCTCGTCTAGCGCCTTTGATTTCCCCCAAACCTGGGAGCACCAGCCTGGTGCAAACCGGCGCCACAGGACGCAAAAGAGGATTAGACTCTGAAACCTGCCTGCGGAATTGGGAACTCCGAATGAGAGGCGCGGGGGTAGGAAGGGGTGCAGACCCGCAGAGAGCGGGCGAGGGAGGGTCTTCCGCGGCGCGCACCCACATGCGCGCTCCTCCCTTATTCCGGCGCTGGGGCACGAAGGATCTCAGGAATTAATGCGTCCTAAGGGAAGAGCCGGCCCCCGCCGAGCCCGGGTGTAGGTCTGCGCGGGAGGGGCGGAGAAGGGGGATGGTCTGCCGCCTTGGCAGCAAATTGGGGGATCCATTATGGGTGGAAGGTGCTCAGTCGAGATAGCCGTGCACACGTAATGCATAACACCCCCCAAAAAGTGCAATGAGTGTTTATTCATAATATGCTCTCCAAGTTCACGTGGCAATGCGTTCTTGCTGAGTTATTTTAATAATTCCAGGCATCATTTATCCCCATCTACACTAACACCCCACACGCACTTAGGGCGCGCGTCCATAAATACTCAGCCTTTCCTCCCGGGACTTATTTTCTAAAGGCTGTATTTCCCCAGCCTTGGGGAGGCGCTCGTCCGCCCGGACGTGCGTGGCTTGGCCTTGGGTACACTGTGTATCCTCGTTGAAGGCTCAGCTGTTCCGCCTGCAATGATTTAAACACGAAGAACAAGCATGCGGTTTGTCCAACAGAGTGTTGCGCCAGAGGAGCAGCAGAGAAAGGGAGGTTTGAGCGGGAGCAAAAGAAAATGGTAGGCGCGCGCGGTTAATTCATGCTGCGCTCTCAGTGTTTACATCCGACAGCTCCGCGCTCGGGAGTGCCAGGCTGAACCGGCCGAGTCTCCTCCCCCGTCCCTCCCTCAGTGGATTGCCCCTCCCGGGTTCCCAAAGCCGAGGGCGGGGGGAGAAAGAAAAAAAGATACTCTCTCGCGAGTCCCCGCCCACCGGCCCTTTATATGCGAGGGTCTGCGCGGCCGAGGACCCCCGATCTGCGCTTCTCGCGGCTGCAGCTGTCGCCACGGCCGCCGCAGCCCGGCCGCCTCCTGGCTCGCCTCCAGCCTCGGGAAGGGCAGGGCTATTCAGAGGCTTGGCGGGAAAAAGAGAACAGAGGGAGGGATCGTACGTAGCACTATAAAAGCCGGTTTTCTGGGCTTTATCTAACTCACTGTAGTAATTCCAGCGAGAGGCAGAGGGAGCGAGCGGGTGGGCCGCGAGGGTGGAAGAGCAGAGCGAGCCGACGGAGCCTAGCGAGCGGAGCCATCCTCCGGGCGCCCGGGGAAGGGAGGTCCGGAGTGAAAGGGGGGCCTCGCCTCCGACCCACCTGCCTCCTCCCTTCCCGCCGACCCCTGCCAGCGGTCCGCAGCCGCCGCCGCATCCACCAAACTTTGCCCATTGCAGTGGGCGGGCACTTTCCCCTGGAACTTACAGCACCCGAGAGAGAACGCGACTCTCCGGACGCAGAGGAGCTCTTCTGCCTCCTTGGGGAGACGCTTCTCCCTGCCGCTGCCCAGACCCGCTCCCCTGAAAGGCGTTCCTCGCCGCTTTTTGGTCGCTGGATTTCCTTCGGGTAGTGGAAAACTAGGTAAGCACCCGGATCTTTTTGTCTTCTAATTTTTTCTCTGCCGCTCTAATGCCGCGAGTAGCTGAATGCCCGAATGAGGGTGTCTTTTCTCCCATTCCTGCACTATTGACACTTTGTCAGAGTAGTTGTGGTAGGTCGGGGTGGGGTGGGGACGAATCAGAACTAGATGGGGTATGAGCGGCTTGTCAAGATGGAAAAGGGGAAAAGCAGTGGAAAAACGGGGAACGTTTTTGGAGCTAATCTTCAGAGATTTTTTGCTTACGTTTATTGACGCTGGCCCCCGCCGGTTGGGCATTCTTGCTTTATTACATTAATGGATTTCTGCCTTTCTGGGGTAAGGGGTAAGGGGGGGTACTGTACTTCGCAGTGGGCAGAAAGCCCTTTGCATCCTCAGCTCTTTGGAATACGGATTAGAAATTGCGTGTGTGAACGAGAGCTCCGCAGCCTCTGACTTTTGCCCGTCTCAGGAAGGGCATTTAAATTTCGCCTTACTGCCTTCTGACAGCCGGACAGACACTGCGGCGGGTCCCGCCCGCCGTTCCCTGGGGCATTTCCAGTCCCCCACCCCCCGAACCCCCTGCTCCTTTTGAGTTGGCATTTGGCTTTTTTAAAGAATGATAAAATTAAGGATCTCGTTTTACAGATGTGTTGGGAGTCAGTGTTGGGGAGGCGCAGGCAGAGGGAAATGGAGGCTGGGTGGGCAAGGATGTGTCCAAATGGAGACACTGACTTGGAGAAAACGAGGGCAAATCTCCGCACCCAGCCTGGGCTCCCCGCAGCCGCCGGTGCCCCCGCGGGTATCCTCGCGCCCCTGAGACGCTGAGGGACGCGGGGAGCGAGGCTCGGGGCTCTTCCAGAACAGCTGCTACCCGCGGCGGGGAGGGGGAGACACCCGGCTAGGGGCGCGGAATCGCAGCAGGGTCTCTGGCGCAGTTGTGGCGCCGTATTGGGTGTTAAAGGGAGGTGCCCCTGTTATTATTTAACATCCACTTTTTATTTATGGGGGAAAGTGCTAAGGCCCTGCGGCCCAGTTCGCCACAGGAGCGAGAGAAGAAAAGCCGGCCGAGGAAGGAAGGGGGGCGCGCTGGGGGTGGGGATGGAGGAGGCTGGGAGGGGCCGTGGCGCCGGCGGAGGAAGGAGCGCGGCGAGGGCGCGAGTGGGAACGGGCGCGGCGCGGAGGGGCCCCGGCGCGGGAGGGGGCTGTGCGCGCAGCCGCTCCCGCCGAGGCGTCTCTCGTCTTCTCCTTCAGGTGGCGCAAAACTTTGCGCCTTCGCGTTTAGCAGATTATATTCGCCACTGCCGCCTTCCCGGCCTTGTACAGAGACCAAAGCCGATTTCGATTGCTCCGCGTCTGCGGGGCCGACTCGCGGGCCTCGCGTCCCGGGCTCCCGAAGCTCCGCTGACGCTTGGCGGCTGGTTCACAAAGTGTGTGTCCGAGATAGTGGAGGTCGCCCACAGCGGCCAAGTGGTGCCCTTTTTTTTTTTTTGCCCCCTCCACTAGCCCCTTTCGAGGATTGCGCTGGAAGGGGAGTGGCTAGGGATTGCGGCGCGCACTGCGCGGCGTTAGGCGCCAACCAGGACCCCCTTATTAACTCAAGGCTGCGCCCCTTTGTGTGTGCCCCCTCCAGCAGGCCGCCGCGATGCCCCTCAACGTCAGCTTCACCAACAGGAACTATGACCTCGACTACGACTCGGTGCAGCCGTATTTCTACTGCGACGAGGAGGAGAACTTCTACCAGCACCAGCAGCAGAGCGAGCTGCAGCCACCGGCGCCCAGCGAGGATATCTGGAAGAAATTCGAGCTGCTGCCCACCCCGCCCCTGTCTCCGAGCCGCCGTTCGGGGCTCTGCTCGCCCTCCTACGTCGCGGTGGCGTCCTTCTCCCCTAGGGGAGACGACGATGGCGGCGGCGGCAGCTTTTCCACGGCCGACCAGTTGGAAATGGTGACCGAGCTGTTGGGAGGAGACATGGTGAACCAGAGCTTCATCTGCGACCCGGACGACGAGACCTTCATCAAAAACATCATCATCCAGGACTGTATGTGGAGCGGCTTCTCGGCCGCCGCCAAGCTCGTCTCCGAGAAGCTGGCCTCCTACCAGGCTGCGCGCAAAGACAGCGGCAGCCCGAGCCTCCCCCGCGGGTCTGGCGGCTGCTCCACCTCCAGCCTCTACCTGCAGGACCTGAGCACCGCCGCCTCCGAGTGCATCGACCCCTCCGTGGTCTTCCCCTACCCGCTCAACGACAGCAGCTCGCCCAAGCCCTGCGCTTCCCCCGACTCCGCCGCCTTCTCCCCATCCTCGGACTCTCTGCTCTCCTCCGCCGAGTCCTCCCCGCGGGCCAGCCCCGAGCCCCTGGCGCTCCACGAGGAGACACCACCCACCACCAGCAGCGACTCTGGTAAGCTGGACCCAGTCCTGGCCTGTCAAGAGGGGGCGTCTAGCTTCCCAATGCTCATTGGCGGTTCATTCAGCTGGCCACTTCAGTTGGCCCTGCCTTTTTCTCTTTTATTTGTAAAGAGAAATGGCAGACAGATTTGGAAGGATCTGGGAACTCATTCTCCTTGAACACTGGGCTTTAGGATTCCCTCCCGTCCCTCTCTGCCTAAGACCGCCCCAGCGGCGAGCCCCTTCCTTTCCTTCCCGCCCCTTAGGAATTTCACTTGGGTTTTTAAATCTTACGGCTTATCTTGCAACTCAATTCATTCCCTCTTACCTTTCTTAAGCATTTTAATTGCCCTGTGTTAGGGGCATGGTGTGTGAATTAGAGTAAGAGAGGACTGATCTCTTTGAGAATGAATGAATTGCGTCTTTTCCTTTAACTTCTGAGAAGTTGTTAGAATTTAATGAACTAAGGATCAGCTGTGGACAGATGCAGGGCAGCCTCCAGCCTGTGTGCTCTGAGCTAGCCAAAGTGCCTTGAGTGGATGGGCTGAGGAATTGGGATCTTTTCAGTCTATTTTGAACACTACAAAGCAAATCTTTGCCAAAATTGGGCTTCTTTTTTCCTTCGCCCATTCCCTAGGACTTTTGGCAAGTCTGCAAGGTTTTTTTTTCCCCTTTTTTGCACTTCCAGTAAAATAGGGAGTTGCAAAAGTCATACCAAGAGATTTGCAGTTATCATTTGCAACACCTGAAAGGTTCTTGGTACAGTCACTTAAAAATAGGAGGTGCTCCAGAATGTGCTTCAAGTTGGGTGTGTCCAAAGCCTTATTAAGTCTTAGGTAAGAATTGGCATCAATGTTGTATCCTGGTAAATTGTAATTTTCTTGGCCCCTGCCATAAACCCAGCTGACATTCTCTTCACTTTCTGAGACTCTGGCTTCATGGGGGATAAGACCAGGAAGGATTGGCTAATTTGTTCTCTGGGAATAACTTTGTGCCAGGGCCCTCTCATATAATGCCTTATATTTGCATAGTATTAATTTAATCTGGTCATTGATTACTTTAAGGAAATGTTGCTAACCAGGTGATTTCTATTTCCTTTCTTAAAGAGGAAGAACAAGAGGATGAGGAAGAAATTGATGTTGTTTCTGTAGAAAAGAGGCAGCCCCCTGCCAAAAGGTCAGAATCAGGGTCATCTGCTTCTGGAGGCCACAGCAAACCTCCCCACAGTCCACTGGTCCTTAAAAGATGCCACGTGTCCACCCATCAGCACAATTATGCAGCACCCCCCTCCACTAGGAAGGACTATCCTGCCGCCAAGAGGGCTAAGTTGGACAGTGGTAGAGTCTTGAAACAGATCAGCAACAACCGCAAATGTACCAGCCCCAGGTCCTCAGACACGGAGGAGAATGACAAGAGGCGGACACACAACGTCTTGGAACGCCAGAGGAGAAATGAGCTGAAACGGAGCTTTTTTGCTCTGCGTGACCAGATCCCGGAGTTGGAAAACAATGAAAAGGCCCCCAAGGTAGTTATCCTTAAAAAAGCCACAGCATACATCCTGTCCATCCAAGCAGAAGAGCAAAAGCTCATTTCAGAAAAGGACTTCTTGCGGAAGAGGCGAGAGCAGTTGAAACACAAACTTGAACAACTAAGGAACTCTTGTGCGTAAGGTGACCTATTGGAGGGAGGAACTGGAATTTCTCTTGAATTCTCACTTGTTGCTAAGGGAAAGTAAGGAAAAGAGTTCCTTCTGAGGAAACTGCAGCAATTCACTGCGAATGAACTTCTTTCAAATGCATGGTTAAGTGCAAACCTCACAACCTTGGCTGGGTCTTGGGATTGAAAGGTTTAGCCACAATGTAAACTGCCTCAAATGGGACATTGGGCATAAAAGAACTTTTTTTATGCTTGTCATCCTTTTTTTTTTTTCCTTTAACAGATTTGTATTTAAGAATTGTTTTTAAAAATCCTGAAGTTTACCCAGTTTTCCTGTGTAAATAATAAAGTGTTTATAGCAGTTATACAAAATTTCCAAACATACTATAAACCATAATTTTTTTTTATTTAAGTACATTCTCCTTTTTAAAGTTGATTTTTTTCTATTGTTTTTAGAAAAAAATAAAATACCTGGCAAATATATAATTAAGCCAAATCTTAAGTTGTGAGTGTTTTGTTTCTTCTGTTTCTTTTCTTTATTCTATTCCCTTTTCATCAATTACAAATTAACAAAATTTGGCCTTTAAAGGGAGTGAGCTTTACAAAGATGGGAAAAGAAGTTACAAGAGTTATAAGAGAGGACAAGGGCTTTTCTTTGTTAAAATGAGTCTAGGGCCTTATGGTCTTGTGAATTCTCAGGATTATAAAATGCCTCCTGGGGATTTGTGATAAAGGCCAGAGTTGATACTTGGAAGAATGTAAGGTCAGTAGTCTGGAGAGGAGGCAAGGATGGAAGAGGTTAAAGATAACAGTTAAGTACACAAAATGGTTAAGGACTGAGAGTTGAGAGGATGAAGCCTTCAGGTTGGTTAACGCATGCCATTCCGCTGCTCCATTCACACCTAGAGGCTCTGCCTACCTACAAAGGTGATGGGAGAATAGGAACCAGCTTTGGCTGCTTGCCCATGACTACCTGTGCCAGATTCTTTACCTGGTTATAAGTCCCAAAGGAGCTCTGGGAGGCAAGTTATTAACCCTATTTTACAAATAAGGAAATAAAGGTCAGAGAGGTTACCTAAGTTTTCTGTGGCCATGCAAATAGTCAAAGGCTGAATCCAGGTCCTGTGTTTATTGAAAAACACTTCTCCCATGCCTTAGCTCTTCCTGTGTCTTCAGGACAGAGATCAAGAATACTTTTGGTTTGGGGCCTGATAGGCGAACTAAGGAGATCACCAAGCTCAACTATTATGTGCTGAGCATTCTAAGGATTTTCCTTATGACTCCACAGCAAACCTTTCCAGGAGGTACTTTTGATATCCCCCGTGAGAGAAGGGGAAGCTGAGGTACATCAAGTGTCATTCACGTACCCAAGGTCCACTGATAATGAAGAGCAGAGCTGGGATACAAACCAAAATCCACTCACCCTGTGCCACACTGCTTCTCCAACAGGCCAGCAGGAATCAGCCTGCTGCTCATGAGAAGGGCAGTTAACCAAACTGGTGGGTTACGTACCTTAAGTTTCAACATTTAGGCCCAATGGGACATCAGTTCCCCTTAATTTGCTTATTTTGTTTCATTTTGTTCTTCACTGTTAAACATTTCCCTTCATGTTGAGAAACCCACAGCTCATCACTGCTACCTTAGCTATTTGTTGAGGTTCCCCAGTTGCTCCTGGGAAGCAGCCAGTTTGGAAATGCTACTGTTCAGATCATAAAATAAAACATACTTAACCTTTCCATGTGAGTCATTATTTTGATAACTATAAACACCCCTTCCTTTCAACCTCTTTCATACACAGACACTCATGACACGTGCTCATCATTAGAACATGAAAAGGCGTTTTTTGAATGTAGATATTATTCATTATAATCCTTTGAAAACCCATGGGCGAACAAGAAACCAGAATGTTGACTACAGAGGCAAATAGAAGTTGGTATCACTGTTCTAACTATCTCACTGTCTAAGTCTCAGAGCAGATCTTCACGTCCATCCCTGTACTGTTAGGGATTTTATTCCAGCATCACCACCCATAAATCAATAATTACTTTTTTGGATCTGACTCCTAGAAAAGTTTACTCAAGCGCTTAATGTCTTTATCTTGATCCTTTATTTTGGATCCTACGTTCCACCCTAATAGCTTGAAGCTGTCACACCCTATATCCCAAATTCAAAGGGAGATAGAATCCACTGAAGCTGAGCAGTTCAAAGTGTTACCAAAGCCAGGTGGGAATCTTAAAGGATTCGCTCTTTGCCCCTTTGTGACAGGAGTGCAGCCCTGGAGTGACTCACTGGGGAACTGGGAAGGTGTTAGTTTGAATCACATAGTCCAGGCAAGCCCATGGAATAAGAGAAAGTGTTCCTCACTAGGAAAACAGCTGCCCATTCCACACTATCAGGAAACAACTTGAGCGAAACAGAGCTTGGCTGTAGGGATGGAAGGGAACCATTCCAGCTATCTATTACACACCCCCCTCTTAGGTTTATGACGCCAGGGAAGGCCTGGAAACAGAACAGACGCCAGCTTCTTTCCAGAAGGTGAGGCTCATCTTGATCCCAGCACAAATTGGCCCTGACAGCCAATCCTGAGAGTCCCCAGCGTCTATGCCATTGTGCACTCTATTTTGTAGATAACAATAATCAAGAATTGGAGGTGAAGGGGAGGAGCTTGTAGTTTCATCAGAAATATACAGGAAGGAATAAAGTAATACTGACTCTGCCTTTTACCCAGGACACCATCCAGGAATTAATAATTTCACCAGGGGATTCCTAGGGTGGTTTTGTTTAGGAATGGGACATATAAAGAGGAATGAAGTGTTCTTTTATACTGCCATTTGGAAGCAACAAAGGAGATCCACATCATAAAAATGATCAACTTTTTAAATGAACAAAATTTCACAATCCAGGCCTAATAAGTTACTCACAGCTAAGGTTTGCAAGGCTGGTCTTTAAGGCAAACTGGCACAGAGCTTGGGGAAGAGGACAAAAAGTTGTGTTCAGGGGTTTTCTATAGTTTATTTGCAACAGTCTATGATTGGTGAATAATAACATTTTATTATACATGCTAAGGGTCCCTAAAGCATTTCTTCCCAATAATAATTAACCCTTAAGCTAGAGAGTGCTGACGTACCCCAGAACACTATCTGTAAATGCACTGGTAGCTCCTCTTTTAAGGTCATAGACCGTTACAGGCCTACTTCAAAAGAGAGGGTAGAAACCAACCTAATACAATGAGAACAGGGACCCATTTAAAAAAATAAAACTAAAAGACAGTAATAAAACTACTGCCCACCACTGAAGCTGTAGCAATCTATTTTCTCTAGATCCTTCAGGGAAGAATTTAGACTTAATTCCAAATTTAGAGGAAACACCCAAGAATGTTTGCTTTGTTAAACTGTTTTGAGGGGACTCTAAATGACTCTGAGTTAATTTCATGTTTTGCTTTTAATTTCATTTCTTTCAATGTTAGTCTACAGTAGGCTCTTCAGGAAGACACAGTTGAGGGGAACTAGTATTAATGGGATGTAGATCTTCTGAGGGCACAAGGAATGTTCTTTGTTTTTAAACAATGCCTGGGAGCTCAGCCGGCACAATCCGCACTACTTTCTTTTCTCATTGTCACCTGTCATTCCATGAAGGAATAAAACACCCAGTGCATTCAGGGGCCTCCAGGGCTTGGGAAGGAGAATTAATCTTTATTACGCACCTATTATCTGCCAGACCCTCCATCTCACTGGCCCTCACGGCAGCCCAGCTGGAGAGCGAGTGTTGAAGGTGACTGACAGTAGTCAAGTTTGGACAAATTCAATAGCTGTCCCAAAGTCACACAAGAACCAGGAGTAGAAACAGCAATAATAGTAGTTCATATTTATTAACTACATGCTAAACACTTTATCCATGTTATCTTATTTCATCCTGAAAGCAACTCTTAGGAGGTAAATTCATCTCTTAGGAGGTAAATTACACATTAGGAGACTGAACTTAAGAAATTCAGTGATTTACCTGCATTCACAGAGCTGGAAAAATGGTAAGAGCAAGAATGATTTATCATTCATAAATATTTATTGAACACCTACTGTGTGCCCACACTGTGCTGGGGGTGAGAAAGATGCTAAGAAACACAAGATGGATAGGGTCCTAGCCCTGCATCACCTACCAATAATGGAGGACAAAGAATACTGGCAATTAGACTATAAAGAATTTTACAAACACTTTTAGAATGCTTACTATATAGCAGAAGCTCTGGGAGCTGCTGAACACCACCCCCACCACCCCACCATGTCCCCCAGGGAAAACAGAATCAAGGCTGGAGCCCAAGAAATAGTGGAAGAGGAACAAAAGAGGAGGCATGATCAGAGGGATGGAAAGAAGCGAGGAGAAACTGGTGTAACTGAAGCCAAGAGGAAGCCCCTCCATCGGAAATGTTAAAAACAACAGAGTGCAGCAGGACGCACAGAGAATGGTCCATTGGACTTAACAATATGGAGGCATCTTCTTGATCACACCTCTTCCCCAGCAGGACAGCAACCTAATCGACCCAAGACCCTCCCTTTTCCTTCGTTGTCTTCATTCATCCATCACTTGAAACAGCTGCCTGATTACTTCCCCAGTACCTTGCTTTCTCCAGGAGTTCCCAAAGTACAATTCCTGATCCATCAGCACCAATACCATCTGTGAATTTACAAGTAAAACACATAGTTTCCCTGAATTAGAATCTCAGGAGACAGGCCCCAAGAAACTGTGTTTTAACAAGCCCTCTAGGGCTTGAAAAAGTTTGAGATCCACTGCCTTCCCCATCACTGCACCTCAGTAATCTTTCTAAATCACAAATATGAGTATGCCCTTCCCCTGCTTAAAGCTCTTCAGAGGGTCGCTGCTACCCTCCAGATGAAGTTCAAAGCCATCCTACACCTCCATGGTCATTCTCCAGACACGAGCTTCTGCTTACTTACAGGTCTTGCCTCTCCAGCTTCCCTGCATCTTAGAAGACTTTCCAGACATTTTGCCACCTCTGCCTAAAACGCTGCTGGCCACCAGCCATTCATCCACCAACCCTGAGCCCTCAAGCCTGGGATGCTCTTATTCATCCTACATGGATGAATGTGTTCTAGTATTTGCTGACCACTAGACAAGTTTCCTTAGGAGACTGGGATTGCCTGCCTACACACTCCTCACTCTTTATGGAAATCACTTGCTTTGCCTTGAGGAATGGAGCCACATCGGTCCTGGTCATTGATGATTCCTCACTCAGTGTCAATATAAATGCTTGTCATCAAACAGCAATTTCACAACTCCTTGAGGAATGGGGGAATGAAGAGCCATTTTAATGGCATTGAAAGTGAGTAGGCGGCCAAGTGGAAACCTCAATAACCTTTCCAAGAAGGGTAGCTGGGAAGATAAGGAGGACTTAGTTTAGACATAGCCACTGAAGACAGGATTTTTATTTGCTTTCATTTCCTTGATGGATTTTGATTTTATCTTACTGAAGATTAAAGAATT